GTTGAGATTTCTGGAACAGTGCCAGAAACTTGGCTGCAACTCTTCAACATAACTGGGGCTGTTTTTTCAGTAGAGATAAGTGAAAGGAGGTATTTTAGCATTGGCGGTTTTCCTTCACCATGTTGGGTTAGTGGGATGTGCCTCATCCTCGCATGGATCATCTGCTCACACATGTAACAGCAGAACCACTGACGTCCTACATTCTGTTAAAACTGTGTAGACTCTTGTCTTGTTTTAATGTACCTGCTGAAGGAATCACACCCTGAAGAGATTAAATGAAAGAGGTGTGTGCTATCCCAGTGTGTAGAGCTCCTCTGTCAGACCTGGAATTACTGTCATGTCAGGGATATAGGGAGCAATTTCTATTCAAGTTTATAAATTGTGTATCAAGGTTTTGGCTAGAGCTGCCTTTCATTTTACAAGTGGTCGTAGTGGGCAAGTTAGGAAGAAACTAAAAATCATTAAAAGGAGGTGACTTTGTTTGTTTCATAATATAAACATTTTCAAATGTTTGCATACAGAAGTATACCATTCATCATGGTTATATACTAGTAATGGTGTAACTTCCTGCTCACGGGAACACACAAGCAGTTTCCAGTCTTGCTGGAGGCTGATTATATTAATTTTTAAAAGCATTTCCTCACATCTAGTGTAAGTGCAAATGCTAATGCTGGCTTCCTAATCTTTTTGGAGATGTGCTGGCATAAGCATTTGTGGGATGCAATTGCTTACCTGGCTGTGTTTGAGCCTGTGCCATCAGTGACTAAGGAAGGAGTACTGGTAATGTGGCAGGTCTTAGATGCTCTTTACTGATTTTCCACAAATGAGGTTCAATGGCTTAACAGTGCTAAAAAGATATTTTTTTTTTCTCAAGTTCTGCTGTGATTTCTATTTTCCTATATTCAAGTGTTTAAGCAGTTCAGTCCTATGCATTCAGTCCTATTCAGCACTAACAGGCCTCCACTGATCATAGTACTGGGCATTAAACCTGAACAAAGTATTCCAGTACCGTTCAGCCAGAGATGGTGCTTAGTGGGTTAGGTGTTCATGTTAAATCCCCATCTCATTTTGTTACACCCTGGCTGTAAAAGCAGCTGTGAGCTACAGCTTGATTGGCTGGTTTTATATGACAGAGTTGTCAGTGCCATCACTGCCTTTTTTTGATTCAGTAGAAGACAGGTTTGATGAGTGATGTGAGGCATTTATGACAAAGCTCTTTCATCAACACTCTTATCTCGGGTCTTCAGAGTTCTAAAGCAGCAGCACTGATAGAGTTAAAATCCTTTCTTCTGAAGTCTGTAGACTTCCTATCCTTTCATGGGTGGTTTTCAGTGCCTTGCCAGTGTAAATCAGTCTGCAGCTGTCAGTAATACTTGTCTAGTCAATGCTTCTCATGATAGTTTCCATTCTTGAAAGATTATTTCATGAAGCAGGAATTGCAGTGAAGTAGCCAAACCAGTTAATAGGGGTAAATGTCATCCATCTGCTAATGCTCTGCCACAAAGCTGCTGTTGACCACTTCTGTGTGTGTGAGATGGTACTTCCAGGCATGTGCCAAAAACTTTCTGAGTCTTGATACACTTGGGTTTTAATAAGCTTTAATTTCCTATGTAGTGTGTTTTCATTGTAAAGATGCTTGCAAAATAGCAAACCTGTATTCACGCAGATTTGTATTAAAACCCCATAGATCCTTTTGGAAGCAGAAGACTCAAAACTCAAAAAGCAGATTTTGCCTACAGCAACTTACAGTAAGGGAAGCAGTAGATGAAAAGCCTTTAGCCAGTACAGAACAAAATACAGCGTTTACAGGTTCTTCACAGGTCAGGTACTGCTGTAAAGAAAATCATGTACCAAGAAATTGGTGTCTCTTCCATCAGTAACGTGTCACTAACCTTCCCGTGAGTACTTTTCTGCTTGCGGGTACCTGCTCAGCAAACCATCACCATGGTTGAGATGCTTCCTTGAGACAGCAGTCACCTTCAAGGATGTGGAGGGGCAGCAGATAACAATAGTACAAATAATACAAAAGAAACTTCTCAAGTGTCTTGAGTCTCAGATAATGTCCACATTTTCTTACTGAAGGGATACAAACTAATCCTGCTGCAGCAAGTTGCTCCTCTGCCCAGTTTGCCTGCCAGGCTAGTGGTCAGACTGCCTTCAGGTTCCTGAAGAGCCTACAGCACGTTCAGTACTGAGGCTCTCCCAAAGTTACCCCGTGTGCCCTTGAATAATCCCTTTGTTCCCCACAGAATAACACACGTAGCGTATGTCGGATTACTCATGATCAGCTTTAATCAAGCTTTGAGATAAAACACTAGTTGCTTAGAACTGTAGGCTTGAAAAATAAAGTTGTAACTGAAGAAAGCAGCACCATGCATCATGGGAAGTCTATTTACAGCTTCTTGGGGGCTGCATGTAGCTTGGCTGAGTTGGCATCATCAGCCAGCCCCACAGAAACCATCCCCAGTGCAAATTTGGCTTGAAATCTTCTAAACTTGCA